CTTCCTCACCATGCAGCAGGCTGGAAGGGGAAGGGGAGTGCCTCCACTGCTTCCCTGTGTGGCCGGGAAATGAGGCCAGGGCTGCAGCCTGCCTGTCCCTCCTTATGATATTCTGCCCCCGCCACCCCCACGGACGAACCAGGGAAGCGGCCCCACCCCACAATCCCATGCCCTCCAAGGGGCTTCTGTGGTGACCCCTGGCCAGCCAGACCCTCCCTGCCCAGGAAACCCCTGCCACCACCAAGCGAGAGCCGACGGGCCTTGCAAGGGCCCAGCATGCCCCTCCCCACTTACTCTCCTGCAGGCCAGGCACCAGCTTGTAGACAATGTCCTGCATGACGCGATCGAGCTTGAGGTTGAGCAGCGGCTGCGTCTCGTGGATCTTGGTGCTGCACAAGGGGCAGTACTTGCTGGTCTGCAGGAACTTCACGATGCAGCTCTTGCAGACTGCAGGAGGGAAGAGCTGCCATGAACCACCACCCACGGCCCAGGGAGACGGGGCAAGCTCGGGCCCTGCGCTGCCTCCTCCTTCGCTGACCAACATGGCTACACAGCTGGGAGTACGGGGGCGGGGCAGGAGGTAGGATCCAAGCGCTGCGCACTAGCTCTCGCCAACGGAGAGAACCCTCTTTAAAACAGAGTTCGCTGCCCTTGGTGCAGTAGATTCCAAGGAACCTACAGCACGTACGTTAAAACCACAGCACTCAGATGGATGTCTTGCCTTAGAGTTACTAGCTTAGCAGATGAGGGGAGCGTCAAAGGCCCGCCCGGGGTATCTGGACCTCAGCAAGGTCTCCCACGAGATCCTCCTTCATGAAACGCTCAAACACGGGCTGGATGAGGGCATGTTAGACGGACTCCCGGCTGGCCAAACGACCACACCCAAGAAAGTTTGCTCCCCTTCAGCTCAGAGAGAACCACTGAATAGGGGGCCAAGGGGTCTGTCCCTGGTCTTGTGCTGTTCTAAATCTTGATCCGTGGGGAGGAGGGGGGACCTGGAAAAAGACATCAAGTTCGCGGATGATGCGGAACTGGTTGAGGTGGCCCGTGGCTCAGAGGAAAGAGAGAAGGTCTAGAGCGGCCGGCTGAAACGGAGAGGAAGGAATGTGCCCCATCCGGGTGGGAAAAGGGAAAGGCGCAAGCGTGGGATGGCGGGGCCTGGCTTGGCCCTTAGACGCATGCAAGAGATCCAGGCGCCTCGTCCAGCCTAGGAGCAGCGGCAGCGCAGCGGTTACAAAGCCAACGCCGTCTAGGGGACCTGAGGAGCTGTCCCCCGCTACGCTGCCTAGACGGGCCCAGGTCGGGGGCATCCGAAACCGGAGCGGCAGACCGAGCGGTTGGCAGGGGGCGACTGGAGTTCCGGCCCTTCGGCCGGTCCGCTCAACCTGCAGCAAGATGGCCGCGGGGCGGGGGTCGCGAGAGCAGCCTCCAGGACCTGACCG